CTCTTAAGTCCTTTCTTAACCACTGTTAATGTCAGTCCCAGACATTTCTGGCTACTTAGCAGAAGGACTCCCATTAGGCCTGTTTAACATGTTCGAGTACCAACAGCATACCCACCACAGCAGGAGCTTCTGTTTTCATTCTTAACACACCCCAGATATTTCCACCTTTTCTTAGCTCTGCAGCTATGGAACAGCTTAACTCTCTGATGAATCCTGGCATATATTACACATTCATTCTGTTTAATATCTAACACTTTCCTGAGGCATTCGCATTCAGACACATTTAGACACTTCTGGGCTTTTGAAGTATTGTCAGCTTTCATAGCTAAGGTAGAAATAGCACAAGTTAAAAATTCAGACTTTGTTTTTTCAAGTTGAAAACTACCAGTTAAGACAAAACTGTGGGCACTGATAAGTACTAGATGTCCGTCTTTCCTGAACCAACTATTATTTTAGAAACACTAGCAGTGGCTACCAGTGATGATGGAAACTCTACATAATGATTGTCAGAAACCTGATTTGTCATTATTAAGGCAGCCCCCTCATTTGGCCTCATGCAGTTGCCATGATATAGCCTTAGAGCAAAGGAAAATTTGTGCTGCGTCAGAGGTGATATAACTCAGTAAAAGATCACACAGGCTGGGGATGAGAATAGGGGTCAAAACTACTCCTTTATGGCAAAGTAGCAGTATCTAATGTCACTGCTTAATATTGAAGTGTTCATAGTCCTTGAAATATTCTACCTCTTTAGGACTGCGCCAGCCTGCAGCAAGTTTTCGTTGTGTTTGATGTGTTTCCCCTACATTTGAAAAAATCTGAAACATTTAGCTGTTTTGAAGTTTTCCCAAGGAAAAAGGAAGACAAGCCCTATCTAAAAAATCTGAGACTTTCAGATTTCTTTCATGCAAACAAGGGGGCCAGATTAAGATTGCCCGGCAGCATCCATTCTGGCATTTTGTACCTTTTAAGAATGAGAACTGATGACCTCAGCAGTGTTTTAGCATACATTTTGCATGTAATGTTATATGCTATGTATAATATAGCAGTTTGAGAGCACGGATGCCAAGCTCTGAAAATTATTTTCCTGCTCTTTGGCAGACTCCGTAGGCTGCGAGATTAGATTATGTTCTATTTCGTTCCGGTTTGTAATATATTTAGACAACTGAATGGCTTGCAATTGGTCTGCAATTCATTTCCCATATCCTTTCCTCTCAGTCTTGTGAAGCTCTTTTTTTCAGTATCTAGTGCATTGTCCCCCCCTTGTCTCCCTCCATTTATGGTGAAAGAGGACATCCCTCTTGCCTATAATAATCACTGTATCCACCAAAGTCTTCTCTTTACAGAAACCTGTCTGTTAGCATTGTATCCAAGCTCTTTCTATGAAAAGAGAACAAAAGTCTTCCTTCACTCCCGGCATAAATAGATTTCAAGGTATTACACCGGAATCTCAACAAGCATAAAACTGTGTAGATCTGCTTAGATCAACGGGTTACAGTTTTATACCAGAGAGAAATGTGGACATTTGTGGAGATTGTTTTGTTATCTCAGGTCTGAAGGGGCTGCTGTGGTTGATAGCACTTTTACACCTATACTAACTTAGCAAGAGGCCCTGGGACTGCGAACGCGGCAACCGTTTACTTCATTTGTCAGGAAAATGACAAAAGTTCCTGAAAAAAACCTTGTCTCCAGACAAACTGAATCATTCCTTCGTTATTAATAGATGCCTTTTTTTTTTTTTTTTCCAGTGGAACTAAGCTGTCATGCAAAGTCATTACTGTGGAAGAAGAGGCAGTCTTTTTGTTAGCTCCTTGCTGGGCAATGAAAATTAACGTAACCTGACTGGACACTGTTCACTGCGCAGTCAGGTGGCAATCTGTGGTGCCACGTTGATGGTAACTTTTGTCAGCAGGAGTAATCTAGGCCAGCTCCAGAGCACCAGACTTCAGCTCTAGATACAAGAAAATCGAGCAGAAGTGACCAAGAGTGACAAATATGGGGTTTCTGTTGCCAAACACGCTGCGCTGGGAGGATGGGATGCAATACTCTGCATATGGAAATCAGCATTTCCTTTCCCTTACACAGGCAGTTTTAATGACCCCAGTGCTGCAAAACGATCTATGACAGTTTCTCTAAACTTTATCAGCTCATGTTTCATTTTAATCAAATCCCCCCTCACTTCTCACTGCAGGACTTGACTCAAGCTAAGAGGAAGGAGAACCTGTGCAGAAAGAGGGCTTCTTTAGGCCTTATTTGCCAGTCATTAACAGCTTGTAAGGGGAGGTTTGTTCGTTTGGTTAAGCACTTCTCTCCACCTTCTTTCTCCTGGCTTTAATCTTACCAGGATTGAGTTTCAGTCAAAAGCTGTAGATTGAGCACCAGCTTCAGCCAAGCGCACAGAAAATGCAGGGATGAACACTTTATACTTGATGTAGGAGACATTTGGAGCTGAGTGTGGTCTGTGTTTTGCTGGCTCCACTGTTCACATCTGCCCACTGATTCTCCCATAGCTTTATACACACATTAATGGGAGTGGGAGAGAACTGAGGCTCTGATACTAATATGAGTGTGATTTTATCTACTGTGCTGCATGCAAAAATTCATAAACTGTCTTACAATCTTTGGACCCCGCTTCCTTCATTTTATACCACTTGGAGACACTCTTGATTTTACAGTACCACTGGAAGAAGGAGCTGCCCAAGAGCCTTCCTTGGGGCTCTTACGCACAGGAAAAGAGTAACTGGCTGATGGGTCCAACACATACATAACTGCAGTCTGTCCTGGCGCACGCAAATGCCTTCTGTACCGATTCCATGACAGGGGCTCTTACTCTTCCATTTCTCTCTCTCCAGGTATTTTTAAAATTAGTTAAACTATGTCTCAGGAGGATTTCTTCTAGATACAAACAAACTTGTTTTAAACTTCTCCTGTCTGCAGACCTCGCAAGACTTGCAGGTTTGCATGTTTCGTTATTGTCCCTTTCTGCCAAAGTCAAAAAAGCACAGTGGAAGAACAAAACGATCCAAAGTAACTTTGCTGTATCTCTAATCTGAGTTAGGCTGTCTAGGATAGTCAATCATTTGAAAACAATCGACTCTCAAACCTCGACACAGGTTTCATTTTATTGAGTTCTGTGTGAATATGTAAATCCCCAGACCTAGCTAGAGAGGCCTGCATGCTTCTGTCCAGAGCTCCACCCTAAATGTGGATTACCAGTGCTTGGAGAAATGCCTAAATCTGAATTAACATAATGCAATTCAGCTATGGCTCAGGTGGCCACCTAACTGACCTTATACTGCTAAGCAGATTCACCATGGCAATTTCAATGGAGTTGTGCTGACACAAAAACTGAGAGTGAAGCCTCATGAACTGAATAGATTTGATGGGTAAACACTAGGTAACATGCTGATTCCCACAGATATTCTGCTGTCTAAACCAGATGTTTCTCTATACTTTATACATTAATAGAATGCAGTATGTATAATTTAGCAGGTAGACTTGGGAATACCTAATATGTAAAGAACTCTCTCTGGTGGAAGAAGTTAATTATGTATTGTTACTACTAGAATACCAAATTACGCCTCCAGCAGCTTGTAGTCAGACCATTATGTTTGCCTACTTGAGCATACAAGTGCATTTTTTTAATTTTTCATCATTATTATTATTAATCCTGGCCTATCTCAGAATTTTACCTAGTTAGGTTTTCATCCATTTTACCTACATGCTACGTACCTGCCATGGTTCATATGCTAATGAATCACATCATAGCCAATCCTGAACATACGCACACTCTGCACAAGGTGAATATGGGCAGGTTCATAGCCTTTGTTATGTTCAGGATGCATTGCAAGCAGAAAGTAATGCATACACAAAGCACTTCTGTAAGGAAAACACATGTATAATATTTACTGTTTTACATATGCGGAAATAGAGATGCATTTTTTTCCTTACATGAAAGGAATTGGGGTTAGAGGAAGCAATCTGTGCTCAGTCTGATACATACCTTGTTAACAATTGCAATGAGAAAATTCCATGGCATTTGATACAGGCATTTACCATACGGTCACAGGAATAAACTTTACTCATGTAAACAATTCCTCTGAGATTGTCCAAGTCAATAAAATGTATTTAGAAGTAAGCTTATGGTTGCAGAAAGCAGCCGGCTGCACTTTGTACTTTCAGGGTAACACTACAAGCAGAAGAAATGAAGAGCTTAGCAGTTCTTTGCATTTCCTCTTTCACCTTTCCAAGCACATATTTCATCTTTTAAAAACAAATTCTCAGAGGTAGTAGACAGTGCAACAGTGAGGAATGTTGCACTGGCATGCATACAGAAAAAGGAATTTGAGATGAAATCTGATTTATATCTTTATCCCAGATTCCAGCTATGTCCAAAGGGTCAATTGTTATCAGCTTCTCTGTGGGACGGAGGCACTCTGCAGCATACACCTCGGGCCTGCCCTCTCCATCAGCCAAGACTGAACAACGTGCAGGAACGCATCGCCTCTCTCTCTCCCTGCAAAAGTCCCAAAGTTCCTTTTCGGTGCTGCTCACCCAAGCCCTGGCTCGCCCTGGTGCACGCTCAGCGATTAAGATGTGCAACCAGGCCCAGGAGCGAAGCATCACCCCATGTTCCCCCAGGTTACATGCAAGAATAAGCAACTTACACACCCAACATTAACATGTCATTAATATTTTGCAGGACTGAGACCGGTTTAATAAAAGCTGGGAGAAACAGGGTTAGCCTCCCACACTGACTATGTAGTGAGAGAGAAGGTGAATGCAACCATTCGTATCACACAAGGTCACCCTGGGTCAGCTAATAAGGGAGGGCAAAGGCCTCCTAACACCTCTGCTTTCTTTCTTGCCCTCTTCCTTCCTCTTTCCTTTCCCTTCAATTAATTCCACAAATGAAAAAAATACAGGTTTATCTATACAGAAAACACTTTGATGTTTTATAGTTGTGAAACATAATGGGAACATTTGCCTTTTATATCTTCCAGAAAACTATATTGATGTGCCTCAAGATGGGAGAGGTAAGATCAGACTCCAAGGAGCAGCTTTCGAGAAAACTAACTAAATGACAGAGCAGAAAAAAAGGTGGATAAGCAGGAGGAAGACTACAGAATGGAGGTGGATCAAGTCACCTAAAGAGCATCACCATTCAGACAACTTCTGTAGGCAAATGACGTAGAAGGAGTTTCCAGGAGGAAGTAGCCTGTAAGCAATATTTTAATTCTAGACCGGTAATGCTATCTTTGAAAGGAAGTATCATATCTGAGGAAATGCTCAGCAGAAAGGAAATCAAGTTGCTCTGGCAAATCCACGCAAAGGTGGAAAAAGGTCACCAGACAGACCTTTGATAGATAACCTTTCTTTGCCTCCCCATCCAGCTATTGCCATTTGAGCCTAATCCGAGTGTCTGACTAGTGAATGTGAGTTTTGCCAAAGCTCTCTGGTGGATACGATGCCACAACAGGGCAAGATGCCGTCAATCCCGGTCACTGGTGCCCATGCTGTCATGCATTACCAAATAAGCGAAGCCCTTTCATCCAGTCAGATTGCAGGGAAGCAACTGTTTCAACCTTACTGCTCATTTTAAGACGACTGATAATTATTTCTGCTGAGACACTAAACGGCTGAGCACACCAGCTCACTCCAGCTCCTCCTGAAAGGGGGAGCTTTATTCAGGAGCAGAATAGGTGTCCCACTCCATCCCTCATACTGCTTGAAGCGGAAAGAAAATTAGAAAAAAAACAAACAAACTACACTGCAGAAGCAATAACACCATTGTCCCTCTGGTTTACAAGGCAACCATCCAATTCCCACAGCCGCTAACTGGCTTCAGAGTTTGCCCCACACAAATTGAAGGGTTCCTTCGTAAGCCAGAGCGGCAGTGATGTCGCCACAGAAGGGTAGAGTCTACTCAATCACCAAGTTACAATAGCTTGACTTAACTTGCCACAGGAGAGGTTTATTTTGAAGTCATGCACCATGATTTACAGGAACAGTTCCTGTGAAATTCAATCATTTGTTAGGACTTCTATATATGAAGAACCTGGCAGTGACAACCGAACAAAGAAATTCATCTGGAAATCACAATACGAAGCCATGCTAATGCCAAATTATTTCTTCATGCCCAATATTTTGTCCTACAAATCTGAATAATTTTATAACAACCATATATTCTGTTGTATAACCAATTTCAGAAACACCTTATCAATGAGGTAGTATCAAGTTTTCTTTTCATACCTCTTTGATTCTTGCTCATTTTAGTCTTCTCATGAACACCTAAGAGGTAGATTACTTACTGAGTGATTTGAGCTAATTCATGGTTCCCGCAGTGCTTAGTGGTACCTGACCAAACCCACCCAGGGAAAAATAGTGCTGGGGGAGCCAACAAGGCTGGAGAGCACAGGAGGAGGCGGAGGTCAGGCATGTTAGCCCAGAGCTGCTCAGTCTTCAAAGAAGGCCCAATCTGAGTAGGATAGAATGTGCTCATGCCCCTTTTCTTTGCATACCATCCAGTGAATAAAAGGAGGAAGGGCAGGCAACAGCTAATAAGCGTTCCAATGCCACCAGTAAGTGTGCAACCCTGCAGGCATTAGACTCCATCCTATAAGCATAAGGCCTGACCCGTTCGCACTCTTCACCGAAGCTCCTGCATGCACATCTCTGCCAGCTCGGCTTGCTGCGGAGCCAGGATAGAGCCACCGCAGTGCAGCTGGCGTGTTTATGTATGTGGCGACAAATGTAGCACTTCAAATAAAAGGGAGCCAGTGGTTTTTTTAGATCTTGAGTCACTTTAGACCTAAGAGATTTTAGTTTTCTAAGAACATTTCATTAGAGCATTGCAGAAGCAGTCAAAGCACTTTAGTTGGATTTGGGAACATGAAGGCTCTCCAGCAAAGAAGCACTGTAAAGAGCTGGCTCAGAAGTGCCCCCTGCCAGGAGGTCAGAGCTGCAGCCAGGACAGGGCCTGGCTCCGGGCAGCGGAGGCCAGCCGTGGGAGGGTGTAAGCTGGTGCTATTAGTGCCAGCTTGCAAGAAAAGCAAAGGAAACGACGTAGCTGGAAACCATCCCGTCCCATGCCTCTGTGGGCCTCACGCCTTCCCCCTGCTCCCACACTGGCTTCCGAGATCTCACCCCTGCAGACACTCACCAAAGCACATATCCACAGTCATCAGTTGTCTCACACCGGCACTTTGCAGTACCCATTTGCTCCTTTTACTCTCTGTCAGCACCTGCCTTAGTTGTGAGGTTATGACCACCACAGAGATCTTTGTAAAAAGCCTATGTTCATGAAGGAATTTGTATTAGATACTGGTTTGTGTGACTTACTGTATTTTGTAAGGGTTCTTTTCCCTTTGGGAATTGTGCGTTATTAATGAGCAGTTTTATGCTTTACTTCTAGTACGTGTATACCTTGTAATTGATGTGCGTTTTTCTTTTTTTTTTTTTTTTAACATAAGGTAGATACTCTCTGGCTGAAATTCTGATTTTGCCTACCAATTAATTTATGGATATATCCATGTCATAGCTGATGAGCAACTTTTCATCCATTATATCACTATAATCATCTGATAGCCTATCTAGTTTAGCAGAATATAAGATCCTAAGACTAATACTAGTTGGGCCTTAAGCTAAGGGGAAATAGCGCACTGTGTTGTTTCCCTAGCACCATCACCATCGGCCCCTCTCCCGTATTGTCTGAGACGCTGTAGAAGAGCGCTGGCGAGACAAACGACCACCTGAACATCTCAACCATCTCTAAAGCGGTGCTCTGCGATCCCTGTACATTCAACAACTCATGAAAAATAATTATGGCAACCCAGATAAACCGTACTGAATTCTTCAAGTAATTCTGCAGAAAGAGACTGGTTCAAGCACAATCTCTCTTTAAAGAAAAGATTTTTGAACTAAAATAAATATACTTTCTCTTTGTCCATCCTAATATAATTGGGAAAAAAGTGGATATAAAAGTACCCTTTACAGAAGTGTAGAATGCCATTGTACACCCTGTTTAGCAAGGGCAACAAGTGCATTTCAGTGGCTGTTACGATCCTCATGCTCCAACAAGCCTCTTTCCTTGTCCAACATGTTTTCTCTCTTAAGTTTTACTAGGAACTGAGTGTCCAACTTCCTAATGATTGCTGTGTAGAACATAGGACATAAAAAATATGTTATAAAGCTTGTGCAGGGCTCGGTGTTGTAATTAACCATCATTTGTGCCTCGTATGAATCTTACAAACGAAGTGAAAACAATCTGGCCTCTTAATGTATACCTTCAGCATATTGTAGCAGCTATTTTAGATACCTGTTTTTGATAGTTTTATTATGGCTGTAATTTCTGTACGAGGACTGTCCTCATGAAGAAGTTATGAAGTAACATGTCAAAGTGATTTTTAAAGTCAGTTCTATTTAACTACCAGTAGTGATCTCTGAAAAGTAAGGTAACAAAGACAAAAACCACCCACTCTCCAGAAGGAAATATATTTTTCAGCCTTGAAAACTCTCCTGTGTAAGAAAGACATGCATTTCTTCCAGTTCTCCTCTTACAGAAATGGTAAATTACTAGGAATATAAGATATACGGTACAGTAGTCTATTTTAATAGTCTGCAGTCAAATTTTAGGCTAATTAAGCTAATTAGAAATTCTAGGGTTACAGTAGTTACTCACTCTTTATTAATACATTGACAAGAATACTGTTTACATAACACTTGATGTTTGAATTCAATACGTGCCAGTGTCCAGTGATCTGCTAACCTAGTTTTTGGATCTAATCCTGTCCTATTTTTTGCAGTATACTCTAACTTCATATTATGAATCATGTTGTCTTTCTACAGTGATTGCCAGGTAAACCAAAAACGTGTTTTACACTGCTAATGCACTGCTCTTGTCTTTATATACAGTAGTTTTTATAAAGATGTCCTTAGGTTTTAATAAATGAGTGTAATGTAAACTAATCTCTATAATAAAACTTGCTTTAATGTTTCAAGACTGTCTGGAATGGCTTTAGGGACTTCCACCTCTTTCAGTAGCTTCAAATTTTGTGTCTTTCTTTCCCATGTGCAAGGAAATCCCCAAATACCATTACTCTGTAATTCATACAAGTGGAAATGAAGAGAGTATATGTAATGCAAAAATGATGCTTGGATTCAAGAAAAAAGAAAAGGCTAAGGCAATTGCATCAGTCTCACAGGTAGGGATTGAATTTGCCAAACTGGCACAAACACACAGTCTGTTTATTCTGCACCCTGTTTCCAGCAGTTGCTAATACCATGTACTTCTGAGGGAAATGTGGGAAATTTAACTAGTATAGAATAAACTTTTTAAGTAATAAATGTCACTAGTCCAGACCAGCTGCAAAGGCCAAAGGCGAAACAGAGCAGAAGGAAAGAATGTGACATTTTGGTTTCCATACGCAAAGTCCTTTGCCCCGTGTGTATTTTCCTGGTAGCTCCATCTCCCCAGCGGAGGCAAGAGTGAACACAGGTTAATTTGCTCTGTGCAAACAGGCAGATGAACAGACCACGCAGGCAAGGGTTTCACGTCCCTTTTCTGCCAGCCTGAAGGACTGAGAGAGTTTTCAGAATGGTTCAGGCCTCCTAAACGTCCTGTGCTCTCCCAGGCCCTTTTGTCACATATCATTTAAGCAGCATCATGCCGACACTAGGAAATATTAAGTATTCTGAGCTGCATTTTCGGTTTTCGGACTGTTAAGAAAGGGCATTTTTGACAACTGGATTACACACAGACGCACACAAACTAAAAAACTACTGCTGTTTTCTGCTGGTAGCTTTTGCTTAGAAGTTTTTCCTCACCCAGACTCTTTCACCTCTCAGTGAAAGGCTGGAATTTATAAACACACAATGCACATTTCCACATTGCAAGTTATGCTGGAGGTAGCAGACAACTAACCCCAGATCAGAGACCACCTTGCAGGAATAAACCTACAGGAACTTCAAAGCAAAATTTTAAAGAAAATAGGAGTTTATCCTTTGCAATCTCAGTTACTTCATGTAGTATGGATTGTTTCTGTACATCAGCTAAAAAACAGAAAAGGATCATTTAAGCTGAAGTAACACTTCCCCAATTCCCAGTTTACATGCAACTGTAAGAGACTGCAATCAGATCCCACCGTGCTAAGACTTATGCAGACATCCTGCAGAAAGAAAGCGAGGAGAAAAAATGTTTTTAAAAATAGCTGCAAACAGACACAGCCCACTCCCCTTCTCAGACTCTATGTGCCGTGGTGAAAACAGATGAAGTTACAAAGCCAGGCACACGAGAAGGGACATGACAGAGCATAGGTAAATCGACACATTGGGTGTGTTACAGCTCTTTTACCAAATTTCAACAATTTTCGCAGCACTTTTCTAAGTCACTGAAAAAGAATTATATACAACACGTTACGCTCAGCAGGCACAGCTTTTATACACGAAGTAAGCAGATCCAGTATGTCTGACATTTCGAAAGGAGATGTTAGTGTATTGATACTGATTTACGGGCTGCCATCACCAAGCCATTATCACTGAATCATAAACAAACAGGAGCATCAAAGGCAGTTCCTTTTAATTAAGGGTTCCTTTCATTTTTACCAGAAAGGGAAGATTATGTTGATCTGCTTGTTATTCACACATACAGAAGGATAAAGAGAGAAAAATTATCCCAGTATTGATATTTAATTTCCAAGGAAACAAAACCTGGCCATCTCACCTAAAATAATCTCACCAGGTTAATTTAATCCAGGCCGAAATGGTGAGTTTGGGGGAAAACCCACACCAACATATTAAGTATGTGTGGGTGCGCATGTGTAAGGGTAAATTGGCTTCAATTTCAGAACCAGAATTTTAACTCCTTTTGTTGGAAAACCAAGCTCGATGCTGAACTACACAAGAGCCTTGGGCTCCTTTAAAATTTCAGGTTATCATTTCGTCCTTATGTGCAATTCCGTCATTGGTGTTTATTTGTAAGGATAATGAGGAATCAGTGGGATTTTATAAAGAACGCAAAAGGAATCTGAAGAGAGGGAAATTCTGCTGCTCTTCTATACTCACTACATTTTCATCAGCCAGCCTTTTCACCTTTCTTCTTGTATACTTTTCTAACCAAATATAAAGTGATTTGTTCTGCTGGAAATGAAGCATCCTGTTAGAGTTGTACTTCTCCCTTTTGCATCCCCACTGCACAGGACAGGGCTCTCTAGTAAACCTTTCCAGACGGACATGTTCTCCCAGCTTCCCAGGGCTGACCCGTACCTCGCCAGTGGCTTGCGCTCGTCATGAAAACTAAAACGACCTCCAGCCTTCGTGCGAGGGCTGTGCCTCCATACTTACCTCTATTATTGCGCAAACCTGGATCATGTTTCGAACTATTTTGGCAATGGAATATTAATGTAACATTTCTCATCCACCTCCTTATCCTTCGCAGGATATCACAGGCCGTTCGCTTCGGGAAGGGTTTTGGTAACACCTGGGGAGTCCCAGGTCGAGTGGTCAGCCAGCAAGGGGTGACAATACTTGGACATGAGTAGCTACTCTGTCACTGGGACTAAAACATTTGTGAAAACTACCTGCAGCCCTTTTAGGCTTGAATTGTCAGTTTGAAAAATAAAAGAAAAAAAATGCTTGATCTAGATAATATTTGATGATACTCTCCTACTGGCCAGCTAAGTTCCAGTTTTAATTTAAAGCTCTCTCACAATTAACATTTTTAGTAGTTTTGTTTTTTACTGCCTTGTAGTTACTGCTGAAAATAATAGTCCATGCCTTTTTTCATGTAAGACCACTGAAAAAATTAAAATCATACAAGCATCTGAAAAGCTACATTCCACTTGACTTCAGTTTTTCTCCCCCGGGGAGGACCTACCAGCTTCTTTCTCCGATATTTGTTGGCCCAGAATTTAAGTGCGTTAGATTATTGATAATTATATTACACAATATCAAACGGTTCATTGCAAACTCACTGTTCTCCAGCTTTACCTAATTTCATTAGCAAATGCTATGCTGCAAAATGCTGCTCGAGCAGGTGGTAGCCTAGTGGGAAGCATCACTTCTGCTGGGGGAGGGATAGCTAGGGTTTGCTATATAACATTGTTATTGTTTTAACCGTGCTACACCTTCTCTTCCCTGAATAAACATGCCCTAAGCAGACACCAGGAAAAGTCAATTTGGAATATATCTAGCAAAGAGGCACAGCATCCCTGTGCTATATCCGCTGTTATGTAGATGTAGGAACCTCTGAGACATTTTACATCCTTTCCCTTTTCTCTTTCTGCTCACCCCATGGACAGGTCTAAAAGCAAGTTAGATCTAACCAAAAAAAAAAAAAAGGAAAGGAAAAAAAATCAAACCTTTGGAAAAGCAGCCAGGCAGCACTGTCAGTCTAACAGACATTACAATCCTGATGTACTCATACGCATTCTGTGTGAATAAAAAGCACCACTTAAGCCTACAGTCAAATTTTTATTGAGCTCCTGGGCTGTAGCCAAGCTGCACAGTAGCTCGTCGACTCTCGTCGTTCGTGCTATGTAGACATTATACCTCTATTTAATATCTTCTTCCCGTTGCCCATATACAGTGAGCTGCTGCTCTAACTGGAGCACCAAGTGCTTTTTCACACACCATCCTCTCCCTGCCCTGCGGGGCAAGGCAGAGCCATGCCTTGCATCCACACAAGCATACCCGTAGCCGTAAGGATCATCCCCTTCACCTTCTGAAACATTCCCCCTCCAAGTCTGCTCACCAGTGCTTCCCTTTTCAGCACAAACGTCATTCAACTGGTGGCTTTTGCTGAGGGTCTGTTGCTTTTTCTAAGGCACTTCAGCCTCACAGTGACAGAGCAGATCCCACAGACGCCCAGAAGAAATACTTGAAAGTGGAACTGACTCAGCACTGAAATAAAACAGAAATACTTAGACTACTTGAACATTGCATCTTCTTTTCTTAATGCTTTCTCCCTTTTCCCAGCGCTCAGATAACAGGCAATGAGGCCATACTATTGATCAGATTTAAGGGAAAATCACTAATATTGCAAAAACCTCCTTTTCTTATCATCTCTGTCTCCTCGCTCATGACACACATCAAGCTTGCACAGGGGAGCAGCTGGATTAAAGCTTCCCAAATCAACATGCACGGACGCACAAACCTTCCTGGCAGGAATGGACAAATTAAATTTCCACTTCACCTCTCCAACATTTACACAAAGGATATTGCGTAAAGGCTAGGTCACGGGCTTCATTCCCCCCCTCTCTCCAGGTGGTGCAAGGTGCCCCTTCCCCTCTGCAGCCCTTGCAAGCTCATGTTTCTCGTCACTGGAGATACTGCTCCCCTAGAGGACGTGGCAACACCGGACCTGCGCTCTGGACCCAACGCTGCTCCTCGAAGAGCACATAAACCGCTTGTTGCCCCTTTCTGTGGTTTGGCCCAGGGTCCCCACAGCTGCACTCTCCTCAAGGGCCTAACTCCTCAAATAGTGCAGTTATCTCTGCCAAGCCTCCCCGTTGCCAGAGGTCTCGTCTCCAGCCCTGTCTCGCCCCACCACTGCTTCTGCCCCCCGCTGCAGCACCAGGCAGCGAGGGATTTCCCTGCTCTGCGCTTCGCACCAGGCACACGGCAGCGCGCTCAGGAAGGAAGCAGCTGTCAAAACTCAGCGCACTGCCGAGCATGCACCTTGCGTTCGCAATTTCAAACCACACCGTGCTGTCCAAGCGTTATCTGGTCTGTACCAAGAGGTTTAGCCTCAGGGCCGTTGCTGCACAGGCTCTGCTGAGATGAACCGAGGAGACAAATTGCAGCGAGCTGGCAGATAAATTTTGGAGAAGAGTTGCGTAGAAACAGCAGCGTCTGAAGGAAGGCCAAACCGCGTGCCTGCTGACGGCAAATCGAGGCCTCTTGAAGCCAGAGAGAACCAAACCTCTTGTTACCACTGCTATTTAGGTGTATCCAAGTAGCACCTACATTCCTCTTTTTCCCAT